GGGGGTGGGCCGGTACCTGTTTGCCGTTTGGGCTTTTGTTAGGGGTATCCCTCTGTGGGTGAGTCAGGGGAAGGGATCCTCTCGGCTTTGGAGCGGCTCAGCCCTCCCTGGAGCCTGCAAGCCAGCACGATTGTGGCACTATGCCTTCTGAATGTCTGCCTGGTTTAGGTTTTGGCCATATGGTGTTTCTCTGACAACAGCAGTGCCCGGAAACCTGCCCCAAGGTCAGATAATAGTGAGTGGCAAGGGTGTGGGAAAAGATGGGCAAAGGCCTGAGTCGGTGGGCACCCCCAATGCTCTGGAATTTCACTCCTGAGCAAATGCAGAGCCCTGAGAAGCTGATGGAGTGCTTAGAAAGGGTGTGTTACCAAACTGGCAAAACCCAGGAGACACAAATCCTTGCAATGTGTTGGGGACTTGCCCATGCGTACGTGTCCTCTTTAATACCACCCGCTGCCCTCAAAGGGAAGAAAAGGCCACACAAACAATATCTGAACCGGGGGCACAGGCAGAGCCAGTCTCAGTCGCCTCCACCAGCACACAGACTGAGCCAGAGAGCCAGGCAGTGCCAGTGTCAGTCGCCCCGATACAGAAAACAAAATCTCCCAGAAAGTCTGTTGGCAGAGTGAGGGATGGGGATGAGCCAGGCCCATCAGGGGAACAGGAGGAAGGACCAGAGGTGATTGTCCGATCTCTCTCCCTGACTGAGCTGCGAGATATGCGGAGATTTCAGCCGCTTGAGAGGTGAGCAGATTTGCACCTGGCTGCTCCGATGCTGGGACAATGGAGCCAGTGCTTTTGAAATGGAGGGGAGAGAGGCCAGGCAGCTGGGATCTTTGGCCAAGGATGCTGGCACTGATAGGGAAATAGGGAAACAGGCTCAAACCCTCAGCCTTTGGAAGCGACTCCTGCTCAGTGTAAGGGAGAGGCACCCCTACAAGGATGATATCCTATGTCAGCTGGGCAAATGGACCAGCACTGAGAAAGGCATCCAGAACCGCAGGGAACTGGCCGTGTTTGAGATGATCTATGGTGATCTGAATGATGAGCAGTCACCCATGGACCTGGATCAGGCCCCTTGCACACACCTGACGTGGCGAAAGTTCCTGCAGAGCGCACCAGAAGCACACTCAGAAGCATTGGCAATAGTGTCCTGGTGGACAGACACCCACACTCTAACAGTGGATGGAGTGATTGGCTGCGGTGGGCGGAGGAAGCAAGCAGCCGATTCAATGTGAATGATAGAGCAAGCTTCAACTTTATTGATAGAAATCACACATTATATAAGCAGTCTACAATACACTACTTGCAACTCTATTGGATACATTTAAGAAAACTGCATTATAATATCTCAGCCATTGGGTACATTCAAAAGATCACATTATAATACACTAGCCCCTTGTGGCATCTCTGGTATGCATAAACATCTTCCTAGCTGTAAACCTGCTTCTCTCCCAGGGCTGCTTCTCTTCACCCCCCAAGGTCGTAGTGCGCCAACTTATCTCTGTGTCCTCACAACATTCCTCACTAGCACAACTGAGCCTTGTTTACATAACTGTACCCTGGGTTCTTTCCTTTGTTTACCTCAGGTGGCTGTGACCGACTTCTGCAGGGAGCTATGGCCTTGCTCTCTGCAAGCCGTTCTCCAACAATTGGCAAGCTCCGGCAATATGAGGGAAATCTCCCTTCATCTCAACATTCCCGGGTTTCAGCTGTGGAGGAACTGTCTCAGAGGATCCAGAAAATGGAAGAGGACATGTCCTACGTTCCACCTGCACAGGCTAATGTCTCAGCCATTAGAAGTAAACGTTTCCCCACCCAAGAAAAAGGCAGCACAAGGTACACACCACAAGGCACCCTGTGGTTTTTCCTCCGTGACCATGGAGAGAACATGAGGAGGTGGGATGGAGAGCCCACTGCCACCCTAGCTGCACGAGTAGAGCAGCTGAAAGGAAAGACCATCACAAAAGGGGAGTCCTCCAAGAAGAGCGCAGCTCCAGTGTCCAGTCAGAAATACCCCAGATAGAATGGTGAACGTTACGTCTGACCCTCTTGAGGGGACCAGTAAATCATTCTTTCAAGGAGTGATGATGAGCAGGATTAGAGGGGCCCTGCCTCCAGCCAGGTGGAGGAAAGGGATAATGGGATTTACTGGACAGTGTGGATCCGATGGCCTGGCACGTCAGACCCACAAGAGTATAAGGCTTTGGTGGATACGGGCACACAGTGCACCCTGATGCCATCGAGCTACAGTGGGGTTGAATCCATCTGCATCTCCGGAGTGACAGGGGGATCCCAACAGCTGACCCTACTGGAAGCTGAAGTGAGCCTGACTGGGAAGGACTGGCATAAGCACCCCACTGTGACTGGCCCAGATGCCCCGTGCATCCTGGGCACAGACTGTCTCAGGAGAGGGGACTTCAAAGACCTAAAAGGGTACCGCTGGGCTTTTGGTGTAGCTGCCCTGGAGGAGGTTGAACAGTTGTCCACCTTACCCGGCCTCTCAGAGGATCCCTCAGTGGTGGGGCGGCTTAAGGTTGAGGAGCAGCGAGTGCCGATTGCTACCAGGACGGTGCACCAGCGGCAGCCGAACCAACCGAGATTCTCTGGTCCCCATCCATCAGCTGATCCATCAACTAAAAAGCCAGAAGGTGATCAGCAAAACTCACTCACCCTTCAAAAGCCCTGTATGGCCAGTGAGAAAGCCTAATGGTGAATGGAAGCTAACTGTGGACTACTGTGGCCTGAATGAAGTGACGCCAGCAATGAGTGCTACAGTGCCGGACATGCTAGAGCTCCAGTATGAACTGGAGTCGAAGGCAGCCAAGTGGTACGCAACGATTGACATTGCTAACGCGTTTTTCTCCATTCCGATAGCGCCAGAGTGCAGGCCACAGTTTGCGTTCACTTGGAGAGGCATCCAGGACACCTGGAATCGATTGCCCCAGGGGTGGAACCACAGCTCCACCATTTGCCATGGACTGGTCCATACTGCACTGGAGAGAGGTGGGGCTCCAGAACACCTGCACTACATTGATGACATCATTGTATGGGGGGACTCAGCCAAGGAAGTTTTTGAGAAAGGGAAGAAGATAATTGAAATCCTCCTGAAGGCTGGCTTTGCCATTAAGTAAAAGAAAGTTAAGGGGCCTGCAAGGGAAATTCAATTCCTAGGAATAAAATGGCAAGATGGGCGTCGCCACATCCCAATGGAGGTGATAAACAAGATCACAGCCATGGCCCCACCAACCTCTAAAAAGGACACTCAGTCTTTCCTGGGCGCTGTGGGGTTCTGGAGGATGCACATTCCGAACTACAGCCTGATTGTGAGCCCTCTCTACCATGTAACCTGTAAGAAGAACGATTTTGATTGGGGCCCTGAGCAGCAACAATCCTTTGAACGGATTAAACAAGAGATTGCCCAAGCAGTAGCCCTCGGGCCAGTCCGGGGAGGGCAGGAGGTTAAGAACATGCTCTACACTGCAGCCAGGGAGAATGGCCCTACCTGGAGCCTCTGGCAGAGATCACCTGGGGAGACCCAAGGCCGACCTCTGGGCTTTTGAAGCCGGGGATACAAAGGCTCTGAAGCTAATTATACACCAACTGAGAAGGAGATACTGGCAGCGTACAAAGGAGTTCGAGCTGCCTCAGAAGTGTTCGGCACTGAAACACAGCTCCTCCTGGCACCCCAACTGCCAGTGCTGGGGTGGATGTTCAGAGGAAAAGCCTCCTCCATGCATCATGCAACCGATGCCATGTGGAGTAAATGGGTTTCATTGATAACACAACGGGCTCGAATAGGGAATCCCAGCCACCCAGGGATACTAGAGGTGATCATGAACTGTCCAGAGAGCAAAGATTCCGGGATGTCACCAGAACAGGAGGTGACACGTGCTAAGGAGGCCCCACCATATAACGAGCTGCCGGATGAGGAGAAGCGATATGCCCTGTTCACTGATGGGTCTTGTCACATTGTGGGAAAACATCAACAGTGTAAGGCTGCTGTGTGGAGTCCCACACGACGAGTCATTGAAGCTGTTGAGGGACAGGGGGAATCGAGCCAGTTCACAGAGGTGAAAGCCATTCAGCTTGCTTTGGACATTGCTGAGCGGGAAAAGTGGCCAAGGCTCTACCTCTACACCAACTCATGGGCAGTGGCGAATACCCTGTGGAAATGGCTGCAGCAATGGAAGCAGAACAACTGGCAACGTAAGGGTAAAACCGTCTGGGCTGCTGAAGTATGGCAGGACATTGCAGCCCGGGTGGAAAACCTCGTTGTGAAGGTGCGCCACGTGGATGCCCATGTACCCAAGAGTCGGGCCACTGATGAACATCGACACAACCAGCAGGCAGACCAAGCTGCTAAGATCAGAGTGGCTCAGGTGGACTTGGACTGGCAGCACAAAGGTGAACTGTTCATAGCTTGGTGGGCCCACGAGACCTCAGGCCACCAAGGTAGAAATGCAACATACAGGTGGGCTCGAGATCGAGGGGTGGACCTCACCATTGACACCATTGCAGAGATCATTCACAGGTGTGAGACGTGTGCTGCAATCAAACATGCCAAGTAGGTGAAGGCCCAGCGAAATGGAGAGCGATGGCTGAAATATAGATATGGAGAGGCCTGGCAGATCGACTACATCACACTGCCACGGACCCGCCACAGGAAGCGCCATGTGCTCACAATGGTGGAAGTAACCACTGGGTGGGTGGAAGCTTACCCAGTGCCCCATGCCACCGCCCGGAACACCATCCTGGGCCTTGAAACGCAAGTCTTGTGGCGACACGGCACCCCAGAGAGAATTGAGTCAGACAACGGGACCCACTTCCAAAACAACCTCGTAAATGCCTGGGCAGAAGAACATGGCATCGAGTGGGTCTACCATATCCCCTACCACGCACCAGCCTCTGGGAAGATCGAGCGCTACAATGGACTGTTAAAAACCACACTGAAAGCACTGGGAGGTGGGACCTTCAAAGACTGGGACACACATCTAGCAAAGGCCACCTGGCTAGTCAACACAAGAGGATCTGCCAGTTGAGCTGGCCCGGCTCAGTCGAATCCTCCACGTGCTGTAGATGGGGATAAAGTCCCTGTGGTGCTCATGAGGAATATATTGGGAAAAATGGTCTGGTTTAGTCCTGCGCCAGGCAAAGGTAAAGGCAAACCCATCCATGGGATTGCTTTTGCCCAGGGACCTGGGTTCACCTGGTGGGTGATGCAGGACAATGGAGAGGTCCGATGTGTACCACAGGGGGACTTGATTCTGGGTGAGAACATGCCATAAATTATGCTGTGCCTTTGTAGATTATTACTTTGTTATTGTTAACCGCTAAATGGCAGCTGGACATGACGCAGATGGTATAGAATAAAGGGGTGGATTATGTCCTGGTTCAGCCAGGATAGAGTAAAGTTTTCCCCAGCAGAGAGAGACGGGGAAGGGATCTCCAGCCAGGTTATTCATACCATGCTGACGTCAGGTCCAGGGGCGGAACCTTTTCCTTGTTCTTTGGCAGGTTCGGGAAGGAATTTTGCTTTCCATAGACCAGCTAGCGGTATTTCTCTGTATATCGTTTGTCTTGTTCACTGTTATTGCTGTTTATTGTTGTTACCATTGATACTGTTGTTGTTCAGATTGTTCTATCACTCTGTTGTATTAAATTTCTTGTTATTTTAGCCGGGGTCTGTGTCTAACTTCCAGCCCGACCGGCGCGGGTGCGGGAGGGGCAACGGCAACGTGCTCTCTCATCCCAGCAAGGATTAAAACTTGCACATGCATATACACAGGAAAGATTACATTAATCTTGTTTATGATACATACAGGAAAGCCAGAAATTAAACCTAAATATCTTTACTGTGAACCACGACTGTTATAAAAACCTATGATTCCCCAGCTTCTTAACTCAACTATGAGCAAACACTTTTTCTTATAATTAATTCAAGCAAGTCAAAGCACAAATTAGCATTAAAAAAGACTACCATTTAATGACTCATAGGATGGTATACATTTACTTTACTTACTGAAAGCTTTGTCTATCCGCCATCCATTAGCTTTTTCCTCACGCTTGAACTTGTTCTAAAAGCAAAGATATTTATCTTTTTCAGCAAGCAAGAAATGCAACAATAGATTGTTCAAAATTGCAGATCAAGATAAGCATTCTTCAATGTAACAAAATTTTCTACCAACTAAAGCTGTTAAAACTTACAAGCACAGTCACAGAACAGAAGTTTGTAATTAATTTTTAAATATAAAATCTATCCTCAGTATATATCAACAGTCATCATTTTTTATTATTTTCAACATCTTTGTCCTTACTTCCAATCTAAGCAGGCTTTGAAATACAAAGGTTCTCCCAGCTGGATACCATAAAAGAGGCAACACAAAAGGCCCTCACCAAACATTCACTTATGCTTATCAGCATTCTTCAATTAAAATGGAAACAAACTGTGTCTAGGTATGTTAGATTTACTAGACATGTTGATCAGAATTCAACACAGCATATTAATGTTTCAGATACCCATTTCCAAGAGGTAGTAAGTTTTTAAAGAAGCACTGCTACAGAGCCAATTAGCTTCAAAATTATCAATGCTAATGAAAGAAGCATAGGAATAGCAAATGAGAAGAGTGAAAATAGATGTTTAATTGCTTTATTAAGTACTTTAATTTTTACCTTAATTTCTGCTCTGGCTCTATGAGGAAAGAGTCGTCCAATCAAGGAGAAGTCTGTTCCTACCATACTGATAGCATAAAAGAACATGTCTGTTTCTGGAGGAAAAAAAAAAAAAAAGAAGATACACACACTTAAGTACTTAGTTAACTTTCCTTCTTGCTGCCTAAACTGAAAAACACCTTTCAAACTTAATGCAATGAGATTGACAACTTAAAGGCTATATACTGTGGCTGCAAGTTCAGCTGAGCTGGAGTGTGTTTTATTTCACCTAAGTAACTGTAATGACATTTGCTGAATATTAATAGAAATAATTGTCTAATCTATTACAGAACTGAAGAATGTGAAATACATTTTGTAAACCTAGTAAATCAAAAGCTAGCCAATTCCAAATTGTAAATGTTTTTTATGAACACAGCCACAAACAGAAAACAGCATTTTTACACATGCTTTCTTCGATCTCCATTATTACTGGTTAAGAGGAAAAGAGTGCATTCCAAGAGCAGTGCAGTTGTCATGGTTTAAATGAAGCTAACAACCAAACACCATGCAGTCACTCTCACACGCCCCTGTCTGGGAGGTGGGGCCGTTAGATTGGAGGGGTGAAGGGAGACTTGTAGGTTGAAATAAAAACAGTTTCATAACTGAAATAAAACAATACTAGAAGGTACAAAGGGGTAATGCACAATGCAATTGCTTACCACCTCTGGCCCAATATCCAGCCCACTCCTGGCTAGCAATTGTGAAATACCAAGACCCCAGTTGCAATCCCAGAAGGGAGATAGAACCCCCTTCTTCCTGGCTGACCCTCCTCTACATACTGAGCATGATGTTACATCATATGGAATATTCCATTGGACAGTTTGGGTCCAGTGCTCTGGCCGTGCTTCCCCCCAGCTCCTTGTACACCTGAGCATGGGCAGGACATGGGGAGTTGGAGTCCATGATCTCTCAGCAACAGCTGAAAACATCAGTGTGTTATCAGCATTCTTCTCCTACCAAATCCCATACTGAATCCAAAACACAGCATCGCTCTAGCTACTAAGAAAAATTAACTCTATCCCAGCCAAAACCAGGACAACAGTGAATTCTGAAGTTACTGGTTTTTTATCTACAGTTGTAGAAAAACAGTTCCAAATGTAAAAAGTCTTGCAGTGTTGTTGGCCTAGAGGTAATTCACAGCATGTATTAAAAAAAAAACCCACTACCCACTCATAAAAACACAGCTGTCCACGTGCACTGAAATCACCCGACGTAGATATGGCTTATACAATTTATTCATGCCAATGCTGGAAGAACCAAGTAAAGATGATGTTAAGAAGTGCTACCTGTTCCATATAGAGCTCAAATATCTTGACACTATAATCCAAAATTATGCTTCTGGTAAGGCAGACTAGCATTTCTACAGCATCTAAACTTCCTTGACAGAAAAAATTTACAGGTATCCTACGTATCATAAGGCACTGGATTTTTTTAAATATGCCAATTTTCACAGTAAACATCAGAGCTCTGCCTGTTGTAAAAGTCTGGAGGGTTGAGACTACATCACATATAAGTAGATTCATTTACTCCACTGGAAATAAAAATTGTTGAGTACAAAGCATACATGGAAAACTAAGAATTTTCTGCAGATTCAAAATCTGAAGTCAAAAACATACTCACCTTTATTTGACCATGGTTTTGTGTAAAAACTTTTTCTGAAGCTGGAATATGTAGTTGTAGAGCCACGCTCAAAGATGGGATCATTTTCTTCTACAACACATGTACCTTTTGTTCTTAGAACTTCTACAGTTAAACTGGAAAACCAAAGACACAAAGAGACTTATTTGAAAATATTGCTAACAAGACACATAGTAGATGTTTATAAGCTAGCTATTTTCCTGCCACAAATCAGAGTTTGTACTATGTAATCAGGCTTAATCGTTACATACGTTGATACGTATTTTAATGGGACAGTGCGGCAAGAAACCATTATCCTACTAAGCATGTGCAACTTGCTTTTTCCTTTTTATAAGATATAGAACAGACATAATTAAATATCCTTTAAAAAAACCTGTCTTTTTAACATTCAAGATTATTTTGCAAAACCACAAAAGCCCCTCCATACCCTTTCAGAATACTTTCAAATTCTTCTACCAGGACTGATCTATCCTTACACCTTGGCCTAAATCTCATGCTAATAATACATTCAGGAAACTCAATACTTTGATAATCTTATTCTAAAAAGCCATATTCTAAGCAAAGGTAATGAAAACACTGACAGCTAGATAAAGCAGCAACAAGCAGGATGCAAAGCTGGAGTAGATCATACTGACAACTGAGTAACAGTCAGCAGACACTGGTAACTGTGAGAAACAAGTTAACTAAATACAACACATTTGGAAGTTTGACAAATATTCAGTATTCATTCACTATAATAAAATATGACATATTCCCATCTATCTTCTTCCTCAGAAACATTTCTCGGAGAGTCTGCCACTACTGAGATGCAGGTAACTGCTGCTCATATTTTGACACATATTTGCACTGTTTCCCAAGTTAGGATAGCTCAACTCTCAACACAAATAAACTCACATTTGTCCCTGTCCAAAGTAACTGTTTCTATCCACAAACTAAGCAGCAATGTAGTATATATTGTCTGTGAGTCATGCACAGAATTTGCTACCTTTCTTCATCTAGAATAATTGAACCATCTTCTGCTACTTTGACACGAGGAACTAGAAGTGGACCATCCTGACTGTCCTCCCCATTCTCTGCTTCTTTCTCCTCATCTTCTTCCTCTTCATGATCAGGAATGCTTTTCTCTTCATGTCTACAATTTTAAGAGATCAAGCAAAAATATTACTTTTGTAAGTATTTTGAATTGCTGCTCCATATGCCAGACATTCAATGATTTAATGAACCACGCAGCAATGTAACCCACCAGCAAGTTAGTCAATACATAAACTCTGGAATCTGTTTTTTATTCTATTGTAAAATGACAAATCCAAATCCGTAATACTGGAAGCAAAATGTTCTTTAGCCACTCTCCCCTCCTAAATCATCATTTTTTATAAATAAGGGCTGTGATATTGGAACAGTAAAAACAGACCACCAGTTAGTATTACCACAGAAACATCTTTTTTTCCCCCAACATCAGAAAACCTTTTAACTGTTAGTACTTCCATCACCAAAACTTACTCTTTCATTTGACCCAGCGCAGAATTTTTTTCTGTTCTTTTTTCTTCTGCCAATGAAGACCTAGAATTTTACAAAAAGCTAGACATGAATGTTTGTACAGATACAGGTCTGCTTCACTCCACAAAACCTGCTTTTAGTGGACAAAGAAGCAAAGCTTGTTTGCATTTCTTTGTTACCACATCTAGATTTGAGTCTAAATGAACCACCACCACTTCTTAATGAATTTTACTTTGGGTTTTGTATAAACAAAGGACAAATGATTTATATGATTTAATGCAGTAATCTGTTGTATGAGTACAGGGAATTTGAGAGCGTTTGGTTCATTACTTGCTTAGGACTATTCAACTTAAAAGAAAAAATAACAAGGAAAGTGATAAATAGAACACATAAGCACACAAACATTAATAAGCAGTGATAACAGAAAACTCATTACTGAACAGAAGCACAGGACTTGGATAGCTGTACTTGTGTTCATGTGGTTTTTTTTTTTTTTGGTAGTTGCAGGAAAAGGCCCTGCTCTGTCTGCGGTAGTCTGTGCAGCCAGCTGCATAAGTGTTCCCTGCATCCATGCACCTCTGGGATGCTCACTCAGCCCTGCTATTGACAAAACCCGCAAAGGGAACAGTAGCAGCTATATCCATCAAGATGGAATGGGGAGACCTCGTGGGTCTTGCAGTGTATTTTGCACTTCAGCACCCAGGAAGGAGAAATGTTTAGCTTCCTGTGGTCCACTAGATTTGGCAGGCAGTTGTAACATCCCTAGCAGCCATAACTAAAAATGTAACAGTCACTAGGAAAAATAAATTTCTATTATTCTGCATTTGTACAGAGATAAATCAACACTAGGGAGAAGTTCGTGGTTTTATATTTCAACAAGTACACTGATCTCCATTCTCATTTTTGTATAAAGACTGAGCAGATGTGAAAACGTCTGGAAGCTTTCATTACCATTGCAACAATACCCCATCTGTGTTAATATTGCAGATTCAAGAACTCTGCTTTTCACAATTATTAAATTTGTAGAAAAAGAAAAATAATTTAAGATAAGGAGAGAGAAAGAAACATACTTACTTCATAGGATTGTTTTCTGGCAGATAGTATATCAAGTCTCTCATGGTCATTTTAGAACGATCTAGTGGAGAATGTCCTTCAATTATTGGAGGCCTGTGTTTCAACTGTTTCCATATGAAAAGAAAAAACAACCTTAAAGTCACCCTGAAAGTCCTTTAGATTACACAAATGAGTATTTGTTTACAAAGTACCCCATTGGGGCACTTGATCGTTTCCCTCCCCTGCCCCCAACAACTGAAATAAGTTTATCTTAAAAGTGTACCTTTGTCAGAGAGGACACCACAGACCCTTAAGTGACTTACCCTCTCGGAGAAATTCAATACTTGGCACAAGTGAAAAGTTATTAAAACTTACAGAATTCAGGCAATGATCAAATTGAAAGGGTATGAAAAACTCCAAATCCCAAGCTTCCTACAGCACACCTGTCCATTGTATTGCCAACTGTGAAACTTTCAAAAATGCAATACTGACTATAATGTAATATCATGCCAAAAAAGCTTGTGGGTCCAATCAAATGAAAGCATACACAATTTCACAAGAAATCTGTATTATGAGGGAACACAGTGCTTCTAATGTTTATAGAAAGACTAAACCCATACAGAGTTACATGACAATCACAGACTATTAGCAGTAAGCAGCTGATGATCATCAAAAAACACTACTACAGAGAGAAAATGTATGTCAGGTGATTCACACATCTTTGCTCTTCACAGATCAGCACCACTCAACAAGTAAGCCTACCATGCGCTCTTTCTTCAACTCTTCTTTAAGCATTTCCCTTAACTTCCGAGCTTTGAGGATCCTTTCACGGTCAGAACACACATGTTTCTCTTTCACAGGAGCCGGTTGCATAGGCAGCTTTTCCTCCTGCATTCGTGATCTTTCCTGTGTTGGTCTCTCCTTGAGTGGGGAGGGTACATTCTTCTGCAAAGTATCATCATTTTTTTGAGCAGCTACACCTACAGTTTGCTCTTTGTTCACCAATTTCTTTAGTGGGGAAAACTGTGGCACCTGTGGCACAGGTGTTTTCTTTTCAGGCAGCATGGGAGACTTTGAAGAGCTTTCAACATTAGTCTTTTCTGATGGAGAGGAATCCTTCCGAAATGAAGGACTGACATCAGGAGTCTGTGATGCTCGCCTCGGTGCTTTTGATGCAGAATGCTGAGCAGATGAAGGTCCAGCTCTGGGTTTAACAAGATTGGGCATGGTGGAGATTCGTTTTCTTCTCTGCACAGGCATCTCTGCAGGTTTACTAGCTTCTCCAGCGTCATTTGAGCTATCAGCCTTGTCATCACTGGAAAATTTTTAAAAGAGTATTCTGAAATACTTTACAGTGACAGATTTTTAACTCTTACTTTCAAGATATGTTTATCTGTCAATCAGTATAAACACAGTTCTACAAAAAATGCAGTTACATATGAAGCCAAACTAGACCAAACCTGTAGCTAGTATTTCCTCAAACTAATCAGCTGTAAGCTAGTATTTTATTTTCTAATATTAATATTAATATTACTGCTACAAGCTAGTTGACCAGTAACACTAAACTTACATGTTCCTTACCTCCCCTCCCCTTTTTTTAGAAGGCTCTCTACTTTCAGCTGAGAATACCAAACACCATAACTCACATAACAGAGGTGACATATTAACATTTTAAGAGAGCTATATGCAACAAGCAGTTTCATGACTTTGTCTTACAATCAGTCTAAACATTCCTCTTACACGTTTGCAACGTAAACTGTTAACCCCAAAACAACTTCTGCAGTCAAACTGGCTGCTGTGCTTCTACTGCTCATACTTAACAAATCAAAAGTAGCCTTTCAGAGGCAACAACTTTTAGCGTCCTTGGAAAGCATTCTTATTTAAGTATTTTCTCTACCCCTTACGCAGAAATAATTTTCAAAGTGCAAGCAAAATTACCAAACATGTGATCTTTCTAAATCTACACACTCCTCCTTTAGCTCCTTGGCTGCGGCTAACAGTAAGACTGCAGCACAAATTTAACTGAGTCATGAAGAGTTTTTTTAATTTTACATTGGAACTATGCCTTCTGTCTGTAGAGAAGGACAACCACACCCGTGGTTCACTTAGCCATCTTCAAAAACAGTCAGAAGCAAATGCCTTTGAAGGAATATAAGATGAGCAAAAAATACAGCAAAACTTTTCCAAATCCTCTCCAGCTACTGTCTGTGACTCAGGCAAATACAGAAACATCACCTGCAGCATTTAACAGCCTCTGTTAAATGGCTGAATCATTTTGTCCCACACTGCAAGTTCATATACATTTCTAGTACACAGAACATCCCTCAGCAAGGAGTTCAGGAGCCTTACTACATGATGCCTGTGTGTTTTGAATGAGGTCCTTCCTTGCACGTTCCATTCAACATCCTCTGTGTTTTGTACAACAAGACACAGTGGAAAGTAATTCTTTGTCTTCCCCGTACCTGTGCTTTGTAGAGTTTTTAATCAGCGCCACACCAGGTTTCTAAACAGTTAAATACAACTTAGCAGAAACTGTGTTTAAAAAAATAAATCTTACACTTCGAGAATTTTCACTTCCCTGATAATCAACAAAACCTACTCAGCATTTTGAAAACAAAACAAAGCAACTAACACTACAGATAGAGGTTTGAGGCAGCTATAAGGGAACGCCTTAGGTTGAAAGGATAAATATGCAAGATACTTTCACATTTGCCTTTACTTTTCTTGCAGACCACACAACAAACAGGCTGTGCTGTATGTCACCAATTCTACCAATTACAAAACAAATCAAACTGTGACTTCCCCCCAAATCCACTCTTCCTGAATCTTCAGAGACACCCAGGTGGCCAATCTTTAAAATGCATCATCTAGAGAGACAGCTCCCCAAGAAGCTAATGCTGCCGACTCTGCAATAAATTCCTAGGCCTACTCCCTCCCATCTCGTTGCTGTACACCTCCAAAAGCAACCAAAAAAATTTAAGAAGTTATTCAGTGGAATTTAGGGTGACAGAGGCAATAAGGGAGCACTCTCAATTGTGCCTTTTCTACTTGCTCCCAAAACTAAAAGTTCCCCCGAGAGTCTCAACTGAGCTATGAAATCTACCACAGCGCACCAGCAGTCCACATCTGTTCTTGTAAGTGCAACATACAAGTGCAATTTCCCAAACCTGTACCTTGGAAGAAGCTTGTTCCTAGCCACATCCCACACATTTCACTACACTGGTAAACTGAAGAGGTTTGTACACTGTATTCAATACAAACTCTTTCCATCACAGTGTTAAATTTCTTGTAACTGCTCCACTTTAAAACAGCAGGATGTGGTTTAGTGGATTCATACATTTGGATATTTTCCACATGTATTGAGGAAAATATTTTATAAGCTTGTTACTTATATAGCAAAAGTCTATTTTTCAAGCCACATGAATACTCTTCCTTTCAGAGAGGCATTGGTGTCTAGTTTTGAAACTTATAATTAGATTACACTGAAGCACCCATTAAATTACAAACACAAAAGTCTGTAATAAATCAGCAACAGTACCACATAATTAAAATAGCAACTTTATCTTCATTTAAGAAAGAACTATTGGGTAACAAAAGATTCAGTAACCTGATCTCTGTACCACACAAATTTTATAATTAAATTCTTAAAGAAAGACATCCTCACAGCACAATAATAAACAAGTTTAAGACACAAGTTGAATAAAAGGGTGGGTTTATTAAAGCACACAAGTTGAATAAAAGCATGGGTTTATTAAAGACACACCACACCAACTAGTCTGGTACCTGAATTTCTAGTCACAGGACAGAGAAGACTGTAAGAAGACATTTTAATATGCCATAAAGGACAAATTTCAACTAAAAGAACAAAAGCATTCATTTAAGAGGCAAAGCTAGCTAGTTAAAAGAAGTGAGAATGTTGTTCTGAAGAGTAATTATCAGACTGGGAAGTGTCCCGAAGAACTGGTCTGTACTGCTTTTGGCAGTGAGAGAGTTAATTTTCTTTGCAGTAGCTCATACAGTGCTATGTTTCAGATCGGTGACCAAACCAAGGCAGACAGCACACGCATGTTTCAGCTATTGCTGAGCAATGCTTACAATAGCATCAAGGCCTTTTTTCACGCTGCCCTGTCAGTGAGTAGGCTGGGAGTGCACAAGAAGCTGGGAGGGGATACAGTCAGAGCAGCCGACCCAACTGACCAAAGGGATATTCCCTATCACCTGGTGTCATGCTCAGCGGTAAAAGCTGGGGGAAGAATGGAGAAAGGAGGACATTCAGAGTGATGGCGTTTGAGTTTCCAAGTAATCACTACATGCATGAAGCCCTGCTTTCCTGTGGATGGGAAGTGAATGAATTCCCAGTTTTGCTTTGCTAGTGTGGATGGCTTTTGATTTACCTGTTAAACTGTCTTTATCTCAACCCACGAGTTTTCTTACTTTTGCCTGGATGGCTTTTGCTTTACCTGTTAAACTGTCTTTATCTCAACCCACGAGTTTGCTTACTTTTGCCCTTTCGATTCTCTGCCCATCCCACCGCGGATGGGGGG